TTAAAAGAAAATGCATTGCATCTTTTAATTAAATGTAGCTAATGTAGCTACATTACATAACAAAATGCAATTAAAATATTATAAGACACAGCAAAAAAGCAAAAACTGGAAGGGGAAGCATTTTAATTTTTCTAAAAGTCGTCGGAGAACTTGCCTGATGACTTAGCAGAAGATTTCAGAGATGAGTCTCTACACCCAAAAATGGTCATCCCACTTGTCAGGAAAGCTTCCCAACTTTCTTGGCCTCTTCAAAGGAAGCAATAGGGGACACTAAACACTTGCAATTAAAATACTGAAAATAGTTCCATTTTCCATTCAGTAAGACTCGGGAAGTCTATTTTCTCTGTGGGATATTTAATTTTCTGATGAATATGATCTGTTAATTTTTCTTCCTTTGCCACTTAGACTTATTTCCTATTTGATCTGCTCTAAAGAAACAAGCAGGATTTGGGAGGGAGATTGATAGTGCTGGCTTTCTGCCACTATCCTATTTTCCCTAAATAATTTGCTCAGATAGGGGAGATAATAACCACACCTATCATGTGTTGCCTGATACCAGAAAACATGTTCCTATGTTCTTTACTTCAGCCAATCTAATTTTTAGGACTGACTTGCTGAATAAGCAGTTAATTTTTTATTTTATCCTGATTGCTATTTATTGCAAGCTATTCCAGAGAAGGTTGGTTCCAGTTAGAGTAGGAAACATAGGGAAAACAGAAGGAAAAAAACTACAGTTTTCATGTATAGGAGTGTGGGTGTGTGATACATAGTATTGTAGCAGAATAACAAATATCATGTAAGAAATGCTTTAAATCAGAGCTTCCAGAGGGCTAACGAAAGGAAGCTGTCTAACACTGAGAGTGGTTTATCTAATGTGTTATCAAGGTTGGCTTAACATATTTTGTTCAGCTCCAATTTGCTTTGTTAATTTCATCAAATTGGCCATATTAACTGATAATTATTTCTTGACAGGAGATTTCACTTGGGATATTCCCTGTCAAAAGAGTAAAGCTGCAAATTTAGTGGAAAGCATTGAGACAAGACTGTTTATAAACATGACAATCCCTCCTTAGAGTCATTTCTAAAAAGAATTTTCCTCTTTGCTGGTTCTTAATAATATATTTCCCACAAAACACTTGAGCTTAGCTCATTATTATTTGCATTTATTGTTTTTGCACAAAACGTTTAAAATATTTTATGACATAATTCCATAAATGATTTTTTTTTAAAAAAAAGACTATTAGAAATATTTAACATTTCCCTTAATTACCCTTTAAATCTTATGGAAGTGCCTTGAACCAGCATATTTGTGAAGCTATGGTGAAGTTAGGGAAGTTGGTATTCCTCCTCGCTACTCATATTTAGAGTTCAAAGCAGAAGTAAAACCTACACTCATTGATAATGATGATAATTCCAGTTTATACTGTACATAGGACAACTTAGAAATAAGCTTAGGACAAATCTAGCAATTCACATGCCTTGAATTTTTCTGCTAAAGGGGACAAAATATTACTGAGGTTTGTGCTTAAGCAATTTATTTTTTAAAAAAGTCTTGATTATTTCCAGTGCATTTTATTTTCTTCTTTTAGGTGTCAAAGAACTCAAGATAGCGATCACAACCACTTGATCAAAGGGCTACTCCTTTTATCTGTGATACACATAAAAGTAGCAGAGCTTTGATCATATGGCTACGACTGTTTCTTCTTCTTCTTATTTTTTTACACCTATCCCTGAAGATGCTTCTCCTGGGGTAGTATAATAACAGTGATTCATTTGCAAATAATTTGTGATGAAAGATTTTACTGCAGTACAGATTGCTCAAGGGAAATGTACCTTGTTCAGATTTGATGCTGTTCAAATGATAGATAAATCATAAATATTAAATATGCATATAATATATAAATTGCTTCAATTTTCCAAGTTGCAGAGAGTTGTAGCCAAACCCATTAAAAGCCAATAAATTGAAAAAGATAGCTGTTAAGGTTTAGACTAAATTACTGTTATTGCTAATATTTCTGTTATTTAGTTTATTGGAAACTGATTTGAGTAAAAGAAGGGTGGATACTGTAAGAGGTCCTCAATAAGAGAAGGATAGTGATATGAATTAAGTAGGGCTAAGACAAGTAAGTAGGCACAGGCATTTTTCAAGAAAGGTTTCCCCCACCCACAAATTTCTGTAAATAATGTGTGATAAATTATGCACCACCAAGTCACGGTTGATTTCCAGCAACCCCCAACTTTCTCATAACGATCTATCCTTAACCTGGTCTTTCGGTGCATTCATTGCCACTGTAACTGAATCTATCTACCTTGCTGCTGGTCGTTCTCTTTCCTTGCATTTTTCCTAGCATTAGACTTTCTCCAGAGTGACAAGTATGAAGTAGGATAATTTGAGCCTCATCATTTATGCTTGAAATGAGAACTCTGGATTGATTTGATTATACATTTCTTTGCTTTCTTTGCTGTCCAGGGTATTTTCAGGAGTCGCTCCAACATCACAGTTCAAAAATAGCAATACCCTAGTATATATGTATTCTAAAGTTTATTTATTTTTTGTTTTCCACCAAAAACATTGGGGAACCCTGAAAATGAGTTCGGGAGTCCGCAAGTCCCCATCTACAGATTAGTATCAAATACTATTAGTAATCACTGAGAATTTAACTGACATTCCCTTAACTACATAGAAAAGAATTTATATCAGTTGGAAAGATCAAATTAGTAAAATAGTAACAATAACAATCTGCTAAACACAGTGCCACAAAATTGAGAAACACAGATAAAGATATGAACAGTTACATGTACATGACTTCT